AAAAAAAAAAAAAAAAAGAGAATAAAAATCAAAAAGAAACAATCAAGAAATTACAGTATGATTTGGTATGTGATCGAAAATATTGGGTTGATTTGACAAGTATGGCATTTTATATTGGTAGTTTCATTGGTAATGTTTTATTTGGATATATTGCTGATAAGTAAGTTTTTTCCAAAATTTCACATGTAATTTTTATTTTTTAAATTTAAATCACTGACAAAAAAAATTTCAAAGATAAGAAAACAATTAAAAACTAAATTAAAAAAAAACGTTCAAAATTTAATTTTTAAAAAAAAAGACAAAAACTTTTGCTATTTAAAGATTAGCTTTAATTAATTAAATCAAATATTATAATTTTCCTATTTAAAAATTATTATTTTACATTTAGATATACTTGAAATTCAGGATTAATCCATTAATTAATTAAATATTTAAGCTATACTTTTTATTTGCCATATATTAAATCATTTTAAATATTTACAGATTTGGACGCCGGATATCATTTTTCATGATCCTTGCAACACTTGTAATGTGTGGTACAATGAATGCATTTGCATGGGATACATATTCATTTACGGTTTTACGATTTCTTACCGGATTAGCATTTCCGGCACTTTTTCAATTACCCTTTATTTTAAGTGAGTAACATATAGCCAAAATATTGTTTTATTTCCAATTTTCTTTTTTTTTTTTTTTAGTATCAATAAAATTTGAAATTATAATTTATTTTTAATAAATTTTTTTCTTTTTTTTTTTAAATTTTTGATTTAATATCATGAAATAAAATTGTCATCGTAATGTTTACATTTTTATCATATATCGGTAATTAATAAAATATTTGAAATTAAATTAGGTATGGAATTTATGGGTGAATCGGGTCGAATATTTACCAGTATTGTACTCGATATATTCTTTGGTATAGCAATGGTTTTACTTGGTGTTTTAGCTATGCTTATTCGTCGATGGCGACAATTAATTTTCTTTAGCAATGCACCTTTTGTTATTTTATTTTTTTATTATTTGTAAGTTTTAATGACAATCATGCTTTATTTAAATTTAGGTAAATATCCAGGTAATAATGATACGAATGATTAATTATGATAAGTATTAATGATGATGATAAAAGTAATATGATAATAGATTAATGAAATTACTTATCATCAAAACTAAAAATACAGATAGGGATGATGTTTTTTTCATCATAAGGTTGATTAATTTTTTTTTTTTTTTTGCTCGTGTGATGATATAATTTATCAGTGATTTTATCAGACAAGAAATGGATATTAAAAATATTAAAGTTAAAATGATTGTATGAATGTTAAAGTGATCTCTCTCCCTCTCTCTC